GTAGGTAGGTAGGTAGGTAGGTAGGTAGGTAGGTAGGTAGGTAGGTAGGCAGGCAGGCAGGCAGGTAGGTAGGTAGGTAGTAGGAGGAGCAGCAGCAGCAGGAGCAGGAGCATTAGCAGTAGCAGTTGTTGGTTTTGTTGTTGCTGCTGTTGTTGTTGTCATGGAGCTTGTCGTGATTGTTTTTTTTATTGTTGTTGTTGATGTTGACGTAGTCTGTTTTTCGAAGGATCAATCGTGAAAGGACCACTGGATTGAACTGGATAGGTGCAGGGATGGAGAGTATCAAAGTCATTTGGTCCTCCAACCACACATGTGCCCACGATTCATTTGAGCAGCCGAATCTCATAATCAGGTTTAGAGATATGTTTGGATTGTGTTTGGATGTCCTAGGTCCTAGCTACCTCGCCAGGATTCCAAGGATGCAGTTGGCTCCATAGAAGGATGGCCTTCAATTGCGTTTCTTGGGAGTCCTTGGGCCTGCACCACATATTTATATCTATATCTGTTATATATATATGTAATAATATTTATTATATGTGTCGCAACATTATGTCTCCCATTGTCCATTGCGAACAGGTCTTGGAACAGGAAGGGCTCCTAGCCTATGTTGCCACAGCTGCCGGCTCATTCTGCCCAAAGAAGCTGTGTTTCCTGGCAAAACTTCGACAATGCCCACGCAGAACTCTTGCTTGATTAAGAGGAACCTCCTTTGCCACCAGCTAGCCGTTCTCAAACACTGAACTGGCAGCTTGAAACAGCCGATGTTATGTGGGCCTTTTTGCATTTCCAGTCCAGGTGGTGGCCTCCAATGAATCTCACTAGTGTTTAGTATCCAATAAGGGAAGGACCTCCAGTGATTCCATGGAGATTCCTTAGGATCCCCCATTCCTTGCGAAGCACCATTGAGACTGCTCGCCATTGAGTGTTTTAGGTGGGCCGGATTCTTTTTCTCCCAGACTTACCAAAAGTGTGCGTCTTGTCCACAGGTTCACGCAACTTGAGGCGTTGAGGAGTCTGAACGTTCTTCCAACATTCCATCAGGTTTGGAATTTTCACATCTTTGCCTCTACATTGGGGTGGTTGACAAACCCTTTATTTTCCAGCATCTCTGCCCGAAAGAATCCATCGGTCAAAGGTTTCTCCCGTTTCTCCAGTGTTTCGCCAGTTTCGCCAGTGTTATTGGTCGAAGGTTCCTGAACACCCAGTGGCCAAACCCATGGACACATAGAGAGGTTTTCACAGTTTTTCAACAACAAAAACCATGTTGGCTACGGGTTTAGGGATCCAAGTACCTCCTCAGAAGGTACTTGGACCCTAAAAACCCACATAAGAGTGTCTCCAATCACCTTCTGAGAAGGTATTTGGATCCCTAGGGTAGCAGGGTCTTTGGCCCTAGGGATCCAAGTACCTCCTCAGAAGGTCTTTGAACCCTCCTGGCACCCAGCCCAGTCCCACCTTCTCAGAAGGCCCGACTGGAGCCTATAGGGTATGATATATAAACCAAGTGTTGATCCCAACTGTTGCCCCTTCTCGGGAGCCCCGGACGGGTGGTTGAACTGGGACGTTCCAGGTTTGGACTCTTCGTACTTGTACATTTTAGAGCCCGACTCCTCGATCCCGGCGGCGGCCTGGCGGGACCTGGAGAGTCCGAGGACCGTCCACGGGAGGACCTGGCAGCTTGTTGACGGTGCTTGGATGGTCCGTAAGTCCAGTCGGGCCTTTGTTTCGGTCCGGTGGGACTGGGGTGGGTGCCAGGGAGGTCCAGTCATACCGAACCTGAGGAGGTACGACTGGAGACCTAGAAAGATTAGAAAGGATTCCAGGGTTTCTTACAAAACCCCGACAGGCTAAACTTCTTGAGGACAACCAAACTTGATCGTTTTTGCGGCATTTCGAAGCGTGAATCATTTGGTGGACTCATCAAGGTCGTATGTTTTTGGTTGCCCAATTCTGCCAGAAAAGAAGGGCTCGGTGTTGTCCGGCGCGGCAGGGAGGCTGTTTGGGTGTTCTTAGCTCCAGGGCAAAAATGGGCCGCATGGGCGTTAAAGCTCTATATACCTGGACCCCATTTGACCGCTTTGATAGTTTCAATAGGAAAAGACCGCTCCAAAACAGGCGTCAATGAGGTTACTAGGTAGACGATCTCTTCCAATTCCAACGATGGCAGTCAAATCCGGAGATGCAGAAGATCCCGGAGTCCGACCATCCTGACCATCCAATGCCAGTGATGCCATCTAGCCAACTGGCGGCTGAATTCGCTGAGAAGATGTGGAAGACTTGGAATCCTGAAATGATTATGCCCAGACATGACCCATGGGACCATAGGACTGCCTTCAAAACGGCCAGGGGTGGTTGACTGGGGGTCTTTCTGGGGCGGCAGTCCGTCCAGTCCCAGACGGGTCGTGTCTGGGATGGATCCAAAAATGCTTGGGAAACACCGTCGGGTGTCCCGGTGCCTGACCCACAGCCGAGATCTTTCAACCAGGAGTCACAAAGGGGTGCCTATTGGAGGTTAGGGGTACCCAGCTACTCCACTCACTGGATGGGACCAAACACCACCCCGACATGTGACCCCTGGAATGCCAGCTTCTTCAGTACGTGACCGGTTCCTTGAAAATTCCTTGACTCGTGACCCTAACCGTCCGGGTTCGGCTGGTTCGACCGAAGCCACCAGGTGATCGAGTTCGGTCACGTACTGAAGAACCAGGTCATGTGTTGGAAGACCTGGCTATCTCCTGCAGCCAACCCACTGCAGGTCTTCTTTGGCATGCAAGGCTTCTGCTTAGACGACTTGCAGCGCGTGGTGCTGAACGAGGCACATTTGGACTCCAGCTCCAAGCCTTTGCTGTCGCTGGAGTTCGAGGAAGGCCGGAGGAAGGGCGACCGACCCCCCCGATCAGAGGGCCATGAGGGGTAGGGCATTCTTCACCGGAGACCGCAGGGGACGAAGACGAATGCTCTGCGGGTCAGGTCCGAGGCAACGGGGAGGAGGTCGCCAGCAGCCGCAGAGAAGAAAAAGGTACCAAAACCGTCAGTCTTGGGTCACTTGTTTTGGAGCCCAAAGGGCATAATAGCTAGAGCACTTCGAATTTCTGTC